TAGATTGGAACAAAAAAACTAGCGGAAAAACGCTACTCCTTAACGAAAATCATCAACTATTCCTTTGCTTAGTTTTCGCATAGAAGCAGTTATTATAAGTAAAAGTGCTATTCACTGTTAACATTGCTCCTTTTCTCGAGAAAAGTTGCCAATTGAATACCCAGGTATTAAGGTCGCTTGGGCATTCAGCACAGGTATCCATGTTAGTGATTTCACAAGTTTCCTTCCACAGTTTGCTTCCACACGTTAGCTATGCCAGGTCCTTCGATCTTGGTCTGCATATTTCCGACCACTACCACGGCCTTAGCCGTGCATGTGTGCCAGCTCTTCTCTGAACACTGGAATGACCGATTACTTTTAAGGGCGGCAAAAAAAAAAACAAAGCTAAGGCGTTTAGCCAAAAAGTCTCAAATTTGACTCATACTATCCAAAAAATTTCCAATTTGACTTACACGTTTAAGGCTCCCCTAGACTCTTTGCAACTGCATCTAGAATATCGATGCCCGGGAGGCACACAGATCTTCCCAAGGGTTGCTTAGAAAACAAGATACAAAAGTGCTTCAGGAATCAGTTTACTATCAAAACAAATCAAGGAATCAAATATAAACTGCTAAATTCCAAGTATAATTTCGCAAAAAACAAAATGATGCATGGGCTTGGAAAAGATTCTGGAACAACAACCCTTGATCACATTTCAGATTTCATTCAGATGTTGTGTCTCAAGCAATATTACTCCTAGGAAATAAGGATAGGAATGGGGAAGGAGGGAGAGAGGAGTTGTTTTTACACATTCTCGATTTTGCGTGAAAGAAGTGTAGGCAGAGGCGAAGAGTGAGAAGTAACTCCCAAAATTGGTTCTCCGGTGAGTTGTTTCTGCTCGAACCAAGCCTTAATCAAATCACACGCTTCGTCGCATGTAGGCAGGCGCTATTCCAAACACATTTTCTTTTTTGACTGCACCAGAGAACGCAGGAGAGGGAGGTGTTGGGGAAGGGGGAAGGAGGGCGGGGAAGGGGGAGGGAGAAAAGGAGAGAAGGAGGAGGGAGAAGAGGGAGGTGGAGGTCCCACTGTGTTGATTAAAAATTAATTATTCAAAAATTCAGTTCGAGAAACCGTATACAATGGTGTATGTATGGGAAAGCCACAGTGAACAGCGAAGATCCGCCCGTGCTGCGAAGCTGCAAACAGAAACCCATTTCCAAACTAAAATCGAAATTTGTTTTTTTTTTTTTTTATTAGCCATCCTTTGAAAATAATAATAATAATAATAATAATAATAATAATAATAATAATAATAATAATA